CTGCGCCCAGTCGGCCAGCATTGGCACAGTGGCACAAAAGAATCAATTAATAATTTGCATTATTATTGTTTTCTTTATTTATTGTTTGCTTAGAATAGCAAAGCATAAATAGCACAAAGCAATAAAAACTTTATAGTTCGATTAGACTACTAATCATTATATTTAGCCACAACAATGTGTAAGAAGTCCGTAAGCGAGGCTAGATGGTGAAGAATATTATGTTATAAGTTCAGGTACGGATCTCTTTAGGAATTTGATTAAAGTGTATAACCTTTTTTAATGGCAAGCAAAAAGATTAGATTTTATAATACTCTCACATAATTTGTTCAAGTAGTTTGCACCACTGTGCTTCGCTATTCTTCCCTTCCTCGTTACTATCCCTCGACTACAGCTGTCGCCGAAGTCTGTGGCGTTTGCATTGGAACTGACATGTGCTTCATCATGCACTTGACTTAAAAACTTGTTTCCGTTTGACATTTCTGAATATATCTCATATTCATGTATAGAGGGCGGATACTTTATCCTCCTGCGTCTCCCCCCAATTCCCCCTAACCACTAGCCGACAAATCTCTGCTCATCCCTATTCCCGCTCTGCTGCATTAAAAACAAAAGCCATTTTCCGGTATTTTGAATTTTGCTTAGCTTTTGTTTTAACGAGCCCAAGACTTGAAACTAACGATGCATACTTACCCATACACATATGTACGAGTATATATATACACACATCTATATAATGTATATCCACACATATGTGCGTTTGTTTCGCTGAAAAAATACAAAAAAAAAAAAAGAGAAGCCAAAACACATTTGCGCTGTTTAATTTGCATTTTTATCGATTTGGAAAGTATCAGAAAACAGCTTAGCTTTGTCTTTTGTGGCGCCACTGCCAGAGCTTCAACTTTCAGCCACCAGCTTTGGCTTTTCGCATATGCGTTTTAGCCATAAAATTCCCATAAAAATGTCAACGCATAAGCAAGCAGGGAAGCTGCAGCTTGGCCTAAGTCATACTTTAAAAGTGTTCGCTCCTTTCTCTCAATACTTGGCACAACGTCTTAAGACGCAATCAATTTTATTAGTCAAATAAATGTTAGTGTATGTGTATGTGTGCGTAAGGGCGAGGGTGTGTGTGTCTTAATGCATTTCAAAACAGCCAGGGCTGTCATCTTTATTATCTTCACACACGCACACACGGTCGACAAAGTGCATAAAATAAAGGAGCGGCACCTTTGCAGACTGCTTTCGATTACCAAAAGATTTTCAAAATGTATAAATGATTTTTCACACTCTTGAAAAACGCTTTTAGCATCTTCATAAGAGCTCTGAGCAATAAACACACACGTGCTTTAATATTGTATAAAATAAAGGCTCATTTTTGCTTATACAAGAGATTCATAAACAAAATATGGATTTTCAACACTTAAAGACTTTTCCTCAATATTCAATTCCCCGCAATACTAAAAAGTAATGCAAAGAACAATAAGTTGATGAGACTTCACTTATCATTTTAAATGAATGAAACTTAATTTAACATAAACAGTATAAAGAAAAAAAAATTTAAATAGAAGGAATTCAAACTTTAATTAAATTAATATTTATGTTCACACCATATAGGTCATGAATGAAAAGTTTTGTTCGGATTTATTCATTACGATAACTTTAAAGAAACACAATTCAAAATACTTATTCAATATGAAAAAAACTGACAATGATAATTTCGAAATCCGAAGCTTCCTTCTCCCTGTTATATTTTTTGCACGAACCTATAAACATGCTTACTACGTTTCACTTTCTTTTTAAATAACAACTCAATCAATTTTTTTTAACAATTTGTTAATCGTTAATTTAGGAGCACTCAAGAAATAGCAAGATATTTCAACAACTCATATTTTTTTGTGTTTTCTTGGATGAGGCATTGATGATTTGCTCATCAATATTAAGAAGAATAACATGCAAGTAATGCTCTCAAATCCAAATAAAAAGCACCCATTCAATGATTACAAACTGAATTGAACAACAGAAAAAAGATGGAGTCATAAACTTGTGCTCATCAGACAAGAGCGTTAACAAGACGCCGATATTGTGCATAAAGGTAGAAACTATATATTGCCCATAACAAAAGATGTAATGGACTAAAAGAGCTAAGTCTTTTGTGAAATAGTCTTTGAAAAATAAACATTACGTATACGCAATGTGGCTAAGGGCAACTAAACAGCTTTCAATAAATAAGCACAAGCAAATACCAAGAGAATAAAATAAAATAAAACAAAGGACCAGATAATGCTGGCCAATATGCAGTACATAATATGAGAAGCAAACAAGTAGCTCTGCAGTTAGCACTACAGACAGTAGTCTCCTCAAAAGCGCTATGTCTTTCTAAGCATTCACATATGTATATACATATTTCATCCTATTGTGTATGTCTGTTTGTGCATATGCCGAGAGCTTAAGCAAAGCCACTTCCGGCTAAAATACATTTAAAGCAATTAGCAATTGTGTTTGCGCTACAAATGGCAGCATAAAGACGGTCTAAGGAAATGGTCGTAGGGGCATGCAGCCAAGGCAGCAACAAGCATGGCGCATTGCCACAAGAATATTTACAATTACCCCAACATTGCAGCGAAATAATTTGAATTGCAGCTGCACAGCTTAGGATTTATTCCTAGGAAGGCTATCACAATACAGCAAATTGGTTTCTAATCACTTTTGAAATTGTTAATTAATAGATAGGAGATAGATTTTGTACAAATCTGTGCGGCAAATACTTCCTAATTATTATTTATTTCTTCAAGAATGTTCCAACTATAGTACATTTTGAAATATTCGTTTTTAAATCAAATCTGATGTGAACAAGTGGGCATATATATTAATAGAATATATAGTAGCATGCTAATTATTTACAATTACTGACAAAACACGAGAACGTCGCCAACTGTAAGATTGCCAAAAAGGGGTATAATTTGATGGAAATAAATGTAAAGGTAGCTATAAAAGCAGCAAGTCGGCTAACCAGAAATGTTGAAACAACATCAGTGGTGCTGTTTATTTACATTTATGGCTGAGCCACATCGCTAAATGGCCAAAAAAGCTCGAGAGTCTACACCACAACAGAAACAATGTGCCTGAAAGGAAGCAGGCAACCTTAACGATGCAGAGGGCAACAAAGACAGAAATGCCAAACGAAGGCAATTATAATAAGCAAAAGGAATATGGAAAGGCAGTTGGTGAAAGGAAAACATACACACACACACACACTCAAGGACGGCTTGTAACTCTGGGCTGTGTGTCTGTTGCAAAGTTGGCAACACTTTTGTGTACTTTTACACACTTTAACAACAACGAAAACAAGAACAACAAGAGCATTGTCATTGCCATGTCCGTTTCATATTGTCCCTGCAACGAAGTTTTTGGGATGCATGCAACAAAGCGCAGACAAACATGTAGCGGTAGCAAAAATACAAAGGGGCGCACGCAAATATGTACAAAGTGCATTGCGACACACACACAGACATACAAACAGATACCAGAAGCAGCTACCAAAGATGGGTGCGTGATAAGATAATAGATCACGCCAAGCACGAGATAAGACCGAAGAGATGCGGAATTGTAAAAAGCACGAAGCTACAGGAAATGCTTAGTTTATTTATTTATTTTCTTCTAGTTGCTTTTAAGGATAATAATAATAATATAATGTATATTGCCCGCGAAGTGAATTTACAAACTGTACCCTTAAATACTATCTCATCATTACAAGGAAAAACTTTTTTAATATTAAGTTCTTGTGAACATTCATCAGGAAAGGTCTTCCCCTGCTGACCTTTATTGTTAAAAAAATACAATTTATTTAAATAAAATTTTTATTTAAATAAAAGCTACACTTTCCTCATAATTTTCCAGTTCTTAGTAATATTATTTTTGCTTTAAAAGTATCTTCATTATTTAAAGCTAAATCTTGTATAATTCATTATCTTCTAAATATTTATTCTTCAGCCTACTTTCAGCCTACTTTGCTTGCATTCAACGACCGGTCACGCACCCATTTGTGGCTTAAATAGAAACCAACGTATCACTGCAGTCCTAATACTCTTTCAAACATTTTTACTATTCGTTTCCAACTAACAAAAATTTATGCAATTTATTTGTATTACATTTCCTATTAATATATATTTTTATTTGAAATCATCTTCATTACCTCTTATCAGAAACTGCAGCGAATTGCGAATTCGATGCATGTGTTGTTTTCACAAATCTCTGCCACCAGCATCAATGCACCACAAACGCCAACTCTTAGCAAAATATACCTATTTTGTAGTGTATAATTACATGGATTTGCAGTGACTACAACAATGATATCAATGAGCGCACAGCATTTATAGTAGGACTTGTTCGGCTTCTTTCAAAGTTGCATCGCACTAGACACTGCCATTACCATTTCCACTCTCAATGTCCGCCCCTTTCTTGCTGCATATCCTGTCGGCGCTTTATTTTGGCTTAGTCGCCAGTTTGTTGCTATTCAAGTTTAATTAACCTAAAAGTGCTCTTGCATTATTTAATTTTGTCATGCTTGTTGTAATGGTTTTTGGTATTTTTGTTACTTTTGCAATGCACAGACACTAATTTAGTTGAAAGCAAAATTACATTTGTAGTGAGAATGTCGCTCGTGTTAAAATATTTGTCTTCATTCCATTGCTGACTTCCCTTCTTCGCAGTTGTTTTAGTAGTGAGTGTTACTATTTTTCTTGGGGATAGCTGATGTTAGAAATGACAGATGCGGAAGGTAAAAATTTGTATTAATAAACAAACAGGTTAAATAATTAGCGTTTAAATATACAAATTCATTAACATTTTTTGATCAGAGTCAACTTTAAAAGGAACAAATTTTTTAACTAGATAGACCTTATTGCACTTCCTTCATGACAATTCCTGTGATTTTCAGTTCTGGAATCGTGAAATTTCTCTTGATAAGCTAGAAAGCTTAACTAATTTTTTTACTATTTGGAAATATGAAGGAGCGCACGAATATACTGAAGAATTTCAGGGAGCTAGTGTTGAGATATCTTACGGCTGCAGATTCGTTTGCCGAAGGAGAATCCGATTGCTATATTTCTGCAGCCACCAGTTCCTATTCAGTAGCTCGACAGACTTTGAACACAGATGCTGATGCTCTCGTCCTCAAAGATGACAATGGTGACGACGATCTAGGTATAGATGATAAAATACATAATGCACCCAGTACATATGATCTACATGCTTTCGCTGATGGTGAAGATGCAGATGAAGCGAAATATTCATGCTCAATTTCTTCATTAGGTTGCTTTGAATATCAACATTATATTTTCCTCCTTTTCATTGTACTTCTGCTATAATGAATAACTATTTTTTAGTAAATTGAAACCATTGGGAAATATTTTAAGCTCCAAAAATGTCAAAAATAATGATAATAGCACTACACCTAACGCAACCAATTCTTATTTTTTATATGTATTTATTTAATTATAACTCTGGCAGCTGTCAAAAACGCGGATTGGAGCACAATGAAATGAGCACAGTGCTGCTATTTTCTGACATCAAATACCAACAATTGGATGCATTGCAATAATATCTTATTTGCTTCACACACTCTTGCATGGGTATTGTGATGCTTCCAAATTACATTTGCCTTAAAAGGAAATGAAATAAGCTGCACTACCATTGGCATAAAGTCGAAAGGCAGCCATATTGCAGTTTGGCATTGCCGATGATAATGATGGAGATGCACAGAAGCTTTTCAGTTGTATGCTATTTTCATGCTACTTTGCTGCTCAATCATAAAAAGAAGAATTTGATTTGCATACGGCACTCGGAGTGTGCGCTGCAATGAAATCAATCCTCATATGGGCACTTGAAGGACGATTGAAAAGCAAGGAGAAGAGTTCATAAAACTACGCACACAATCTTTAACTTTGCTTCCTCGAAGGACGCATCACAATGTGACAAGAAGGCAATGCACATAGCAATTTGTCAGAAACATAAATGGAGAATCAGTTTTTGTGAGCTCTCTTGAATAAATCGATTGCAAGAGATATTTCGCAATAATATTTTAAATACTATGAATTTATAACCAAGCGCATAATTAGCAATTAATAAAATCAATTCACACCTTCACTGTGCGTGAAGGCAAAAAAAAAATGCCAACAACAGCAAACAATTTTTTGTAAGCACGAAAATATAATTACAGAATCCGAATTGGATTGGTTGCAATATCAATAACGTTTTTTTTTTTTTTTTTGGCGAAAAACCAAAAATAAATGTTGCATGCCCTAGAAGTTATTTGAAAAATTCCACATAAAAGAGACATTTGATAAAAAGATTATTTAACAGAAAAAAATCAAACTTGTTGAAAAACTAGGTTATGGACAAAAATGTGTTATAACAAGAGAGAACGCTACAGTCGAGCAAGCCCGACAGTGTAATACCCTGTACCCAGGTAAACTTCCGTCACTGAGTTATATGCGCCCATAGCAGCAGCAAAAAGAGGAAGAAGAAGAGCGAACTTGTTGCTGCAGTTTAGGGGGGTTGTACTGGCGAGAATTTGTTTCGCTAATAACTTTTCTTAGAATTGACCGAATTGAATATACAACAGTAGACAATTATGTATAAATTATGTGTGCAAAGTTTGGTTTAGGTAGCATTTGAAATGTGGACGCTATTGACGAAATTCTGTAGCGGGGGAAGGGGGGGGGAATTAAAAAAAAAAAAATAAACTCGTCCTTACTCGGACCTAGGAGAATCTGGATGCCAACTTTGGTTATTCTAGCTTTTATAGTTTGAGAGATCCTCGCGTTCATCCAGACGGACGGACAGACGGACGGACAGACGGACAGACGGACGGACATGTCTAGATCGATTTCTCTCGTCATGCTGATCAAGAATATATATACTTTATGGGGTCGGAGATGCTTCCTTCTGTATGTTACATACTTTGCACAAACCTAATATACCCTGTTTACCCTACGGGTACAGGGTATAAAAATGTTGGGACTTTAAAGTGGCTCTTACCATTTGTGAATTTGAAGGCAACATATTTTGCATCCCCATTTCACCCTCAGTTGTGTAATGTTATATATATAGTATGTATTGAAAATGCATTTGTGTGTGGGCATGGTAATAGATAACTAGACCTAAACTAAATCGGAAACACCATCATGAAACAGAATTCCTAAGCAATGCACACTACGATTTATATATTCCGAGTCAACGAATTAGTCCACCTTCACAAAGTCAATGAAGGAAAATTATTTGTGTTTGGCTGTTTGCATCAAGAAAAAAAATGATTCTTGCTAAGTTTAAAATCCTAGTTAATAACAAAAAAGCTTGTAATATTAATCTGGTTTTGAATAAAATACACGTACATATCGGTACTAAGATATCCCAACACATTTCAGCACCGTCAAAAAAATCTAAACACATCCACTGAATGACAACTACTTTATGACATTTATAATGAAATCTTGTCGGAGCTACGCACAATGTGATCAAAATTCGACCTCCAAGCAATGCTGTCTAGTGTGGCCTAAATGAAAGTGTTGCCTACTAAAGAGCTGTACCCTCGTTCATATGATTTAATTTTTTACTCGGAAACACAAAACCAATGGCACAAAAAATATTAATAAATATCTTACGAAGCGTAATAAAGATTCATAAAAGACTTCAAATGCACGATGGTTGCAGCAGCAGTCGCATTAGCAATAAGCGCAAATGGCCATAAAGATAAACGCACACGCAGACACACACACACACACAGATACTCACATATATACACACCTAGAAACATATGATGCACCACTGGATGCAATCTAGAAACGATTCTAAACAAAAGAAATCCGCTTTCATAATTTCCCCATGGAATGCATTTTCTTTTTATTGCCACTAAGCGACCGACGTTGAAATAACAATGCAAACATACTCTGTTAAGCACACACACACACACACACACACACACACTATTACACACTGATGGCATGTGCCGCCAGTCGACGCGGCTCAATTACAATTGCAATTGTTTGGCTGAATGCGTTCTGTTTTCGCGCCGCCCGCCGCCTGCCGCCCACCACTCGCAATCGGAACCATCACCGTACGAAGGATTGGTTTTTATGAGACCCCACCACCCCCCACCCAGAATGATGTTCGTGCGGTTTTCCCAACCACTTTTCCATTTTCACCCATTGCCTTTGCCGCTTTTTTAAGTAAGTAAAATTGCATTCTTGTGCCACTTTTCCTTACGCTCAACTTTAATCAATGTGCGAGGCTTGTGCAGTTATGGGTTAAGTGCGCGCTTGCCTCTGTCTGTGTACGCATAAAGTGTTTATTGTTCAGTTTCTGCTTATTAACAAAGTCGCAATTGGTGCGGGAGATGTGGCATTTCAATATCAGCAACTTATTGTAGTATAAGAAGAATTAAAAATCAAGTTATCTAATTCTTGAAAATAATACATTCAGGGAGCTATACCAGTTTTCTCAGCTTCTAAAAAAAACCGAGTTCTTGATAAGTAGTTCATAAGGCAGCTATAATATTTATTTTATTTATTTATTTATTTATTTATGTATGTCAACAAATATTGACTGTCGACATATGTCGAATTATATTAAAAATATAAAAAGCATCTTATAAGAGAAATCTAATCAAATTACAAGAATATCTAATTTAGTTGTAATATTTTTATACATTCGCTAATACCTAGTTCAGCTTTAATACACATTTCTTGCAAAAACCAACAACATCTATAAAGATCAAAATAAAGTTTTAAAATCAAATAAAAATCACATTTTAAACAGTTCATGGCCACAGTTTTTAGTGGTTTTCGTGCTCAGGGGAAGAATTCGCCTACAGAAACATAATTTCGTTTACTTTATTAAATAGTACCTGCAGCGTATTATAAAACTGTATTCCATTTATGAATAAAATTCAATAAAATTGCATTTCACTATGTTATTGATCATATTTTTATTTCATATTTCAAATTTATTCAAAAAAAAAAAAAAAAGAAAACTTTGCATTTAAAGCTTGGGGCGTAAAATCTATTTAAATTAGTTAAACCATTTTGAAATGCATACTCACACACAGTCACTCGCTCACACACACATATGCATACTATACGTTCATGAATGGCCGTCGGGAAGGTCTTGTCATGTGCTCGGCGCTTAATATTTATTAATGGCGAAAAATGATGGGTAAAAAGGAAGAGAAAAGAAGCCAAGCAAACCAAATTGAATGCATCAACGAACCAGTTAATAATAAATTGCTGCTTCAATGAGCACAACAACACGTAAAGGGGCAGCAGCAACAACAAAAGATAAATCACAACAACAAAAATAGATAAATACATATACATATACTCGTATATATCGATGGGAAAACTATGCAGGGACTTGGCTCGTGGTTTTGTTTCTTTTTCCTTTTCAATGCGCAAACATCAAACGCTTCATAAACGCGCAGCCAAACAAAAAACTTATGACTCCCATGGGAGACACTTGAATGACTACAACAGCAACAACAACAACAACCCAAGAAAAACAACAACTGGAAGCAAAACAAAAACAAAACGTAGCTGCGGCTCAACCGAACACTAAACAGTTTGTTGAAGCGCAAAGAAAACGCAGATGGAAAATAAACGAGCGGCAGCCAGCAAGTCAATGCACACACACACACAAGCACATGCACACAGCCAGCGATGGAAAAAAAGGAAAACTATTTCTTTGCGCAGCGTTGTGGAAAATTAAAAACGCCTGGCGCCTAAATGAGCGGCTTAGTTTAAGCGAAGAAGTCGCCCGCCCAGCTCAACCATCCTGGAGTTTCCTTTGCCCAATAAGTTCCCTCTTATTAATAACGAAGATGTCTGGAAAGAGTTATTAAACTAAATATAGTTATATACTTTTAAGAGTAGTGCTGCTCCAGCAGGTTCCCATTTTATCAAATTTGAACCTAAATTAATGCTTAAATCATAGGCACATTATTTTACAAAGATTTTGTGAAAAAAAAAGTGTCTTAGAAGTTCTACTTTGCTGAGTCCCTCTCAAGTGGGATAGAAAATCAAAATTTTAAATTTCTTTGAACTAGTTCAACTATAAGCAACAACAGCTTATTAATCCTGTAAGTGAGTATTAAGTCATCGTCAAGCGCATATTGAATTTTCTCTCTCTAATGAGTTGCGCTAATGAAGAAA